TATCACTCTGTTTTTATATCCTCCTATAACTTTTATTTTGCGATGTACTCTGCATTTTGTACTCCAGGCCCCAAAGTACCCGAGATTTTATTTAAGGTAACTGGAACTGAATATTGTTCAATTGGGGTAACCACTGCTGGACATCTTGGAGAGAAGAGAAAAGGAATTTGACTTTCAGAGGATGACAAGTCAGGAATAGACACATGTACACTTGATTAAGTGCAAAATAGACTGTGGTCCCCTCCTCCTGCTCCCCAACGATAGTGAAACAAGAGAGCTGGCATTGATTAGTGAGAGCAAAGAAACAGCCAAACAATCTGAAAGGTGTCAGGCCAGCTGTAACAGGGTGTCAAGGTTCTTCTCTCTTTATCCACCCTGCTGGAAGGAGATACTGACTAATTTATGCAGACTCATTGTGGCAGGTGTGCTTCTGGTGTGGAGTTAGGAGTGGCACTAGTTAAAGAGATCTGGTCTCTACAGTGGAGAACTCTCTGCAAGGAAGCCCTAAGAACAGCCAAGCTTAGGGAGAAAGCTTAGGCTGAAGTTTGTTATTGTTTAAATTACCAACAAAACCATACCCAAAGAAGAGGGTAAGGGTTGACTAAATACAGTAGGCCACATCCTCAGCTGGTGTAAACTGAAGTCAACTGAGCTTTGCCAATTTCCACTGGCTGACTATGTCTGGAGTACAAGAGAACTCTTGGTGTGTGGGAAAGGAAACCAGATAATGCACTCTCTTCATATGATGATGATGAGACAGTCTTTCCATTCCACTAGTTTCTCTGGAGGATATTGAACAGCAGGTACTAAAGACACACCTTTTTAAAATCAGCCAGTCCACATAATTAGCATCCAAGAGTTTTAAAATAGCTATCAGAGGAGCTCGCTGGACCATAGATATTGATTTTCAATAAATCTTGGAACACTGGTGAAGTTCCAGAAGACTGGAACAAAGTGCCAATATTTAAAAGGGTAAATGGGATGACCCATGTAATTATAGGCCTGACAGTCTGACATTGATCCTGGCAAGATAATGGAGCAGCTGACTTGAGGAAGAGGACTTGATCAATACAGAATTAAAGGAGGGTAATATAATTAATGCCAAGCGACTTGGGTTTATAGAAAATAGATCCTATCAAACTAACTTGATGCCTTTTTTGTTGAAACAACAAGTTTGGTTGACAAAGGTAATATTGTTGATGTAATGTAGTTCGACGACTGTAAAGCATTTTACTTGGTACGCACAACATTTTGATTAAAAAATTAGAATGATGTAAAATTAATATGGCACACGTTAAATGGATTAAAAGCAGATGAACTGATAGGTGTCAAAATTTAATCTTAAACGGGAAGTCATGATCGAATGTTTGTATTTCCAGTGTGCTCCCAGAGGGCTCAGTTCTTGGCCCTATGCTATTTAACATTTTTATCAATGACCTGGAAGAAAATATAAAATTATCATTAATAAAGTTTGCAGAAGACACAAAAATTGAGGGAGTGGTAAATAATGTAAAGGACAGGACACTGACACAGAGGAACCTGGATCGCTTGCCAAACTTTGCACAAACAAACAGTATATATTTTGATATAGCTAAATGCAAATGTAACATCTATGAAAAAAGAATATAGGCCATAATTACAGGATGGGGGCTGTATCCTGGAAAGCAGTGACTCTGAAAAATATTTGGGGTTGCTGGTGGATAGTTAGCTTAACATGAGCTCCAGTGTCAAAAAGGGCAAATGAGAGCCTTGGAAGAGGAAACAGGGCAATTTCAAGTAGTAGTAATGATTATTTTACCTCTGCATTTGGCACTGGTTTGACCACTATTGGAATACTGTTTCTGGTTGAAAATTTTGAAAAATTGGAGAGGGTTCAAAGAAAAACCATGGGATTGATTAAAGGGTTAGGAAGCATGCCTTATAGTGATAGGCTCAAAGAGCTCAATCTATTTAGCTCAACAAAGTGAAAGTAAACAATTATAGTCTGAAAGAACTGACATGGGGAACAAATATTTAAAAATGGGCTCTTCAGTCTAGCACAGAAAGGCATAATATTTCCCTGGGTGGATACTGAAGCGAGACAAATTGAGACAGGAAACAAGGCATAATTTTTTAACATTAAGAGTAATTAACCATTGAAACATCTTACCAAGGGGCATGGCGGATTCTCCATCAATGGCAATTTTTAAATCAATATTGGATGTTCTTCTAACAGATATTATGCAGGGAATTATTTGGGGGAAAGTCTATGGCCTATGCTATCCAAAAAGACAGACTAGATGATCACAGTGGTCCCTTCTGGCCTTGGAATTTATGACTCTACAAACTGGTTCCCAAATGTCAAAGGTTTTCTTCTCACTTTTATGCAAAGAATGATTATGGAAAACCATACAACTTATATGAAAAAAAATTATTTTCTAAAACACTAGTTAGACCTGTTCAGTGATTACTCACTGATGGCCCGCAGTGGGGTTTCTGCTACTGGTATGGTTTCACACACAAATCAGATCTTCAGCCGAATGAAGCACCCCTCCTTTCCTCCAGAAATTAACAAATGGCCCAAGTGATTACTTCTGAAGCGTTGCATTCACTGTTACACAATAATCTAGCATTCATCATGCTTTAAAATGCGTCACACTGAAGACAGATTTGATGTGCTCCTAAGCACCAAGGAACACAATAATGTAATAGGGAGGTGCTGTACAGGGGACCCAAGACAGACACAGTGACACAACTGGACCTCCAGTCCATCCTTAGAAGCAGTGATGATGTAAACACATGATTTTTTTTTAAAACATTTGTACTGTGGCGGCACCCAATGGCCCCAGTCAGGATGTGGGTTCCATTTCACTAGGTGGTACACAAAAATATGGGAAGCTACAGTCCTGCAAGTAAAGGGGTGGGGGATCTGCAGGCTGGAAGGCTCAGAATTAGAAGGAACTGGTTTAGAGAAGGCAAGAAAAGGAGATAGCAAGTGCCTATTCCCAATGTTAATGATTATTTACACCAATATATGCAGTCTGCAAACTACATGCCACTTGACAAACAGATTGAGTCACATTCCTTTCCCTTAAGTGTTTACAACTCAAGTAAAACACATAGAAAGATAAGCACTCCCAATGCGATCCATGACTTCTGAACTCATAACAAGGCCTCCATTCAAGGCAAAGGCAGGGGTTTCTAAGAGCCTGGGGAGGACATTATATCAAGTTAATTGAGGGAGCTAGAAAAGGGCTGGGGCAGCACACTGAGCCACAGAGGAGTAGGAAGTAGGAGACAGAGAAGAAGCCAACAGGACACAGGAAAGGTTCAAATATAGGTCAGGCAAGGGACAGACATAAGGGAGGGTACAGATAACATCCAGGGAAATAGATATTCTTTGTGTCTTAAAAACAATAGCCCAAGCCATAGAGCAAGATGAGAAAATGGCTTTTGTCTAAAGAACCCTTGCCCATCTGTTTTACTCTAATTTGCAGTCTACTTTGCCAAAAGAAGTCAGGCTCCCTGAAGCACCATTAAAATAAAAATGATTAGGAAGGGAATTGAAGCAGATAGTACACACGAGTTGTGAGACACACAGATTTAGTTCTGGAAAATGAAAGGTTGTTTGTTTGGTTTTTTAGATTTGCGGTAAAAAAGCACAAAACTGAAATAGGATCAGGCAAAACACTGAAAATGCATAGGGCTGACTGGAATATTTTCAGTTTCTACCATTACATCTGTTTTAGGATTTAATAAACCAGATACAAGTAGCCCAGACTTTCAAAAATACAAGTATAAAGTTAGACTCCTAAGGCAAAGTTTAGACACCTAAAAAAATGGCCAGATTTTCAAAAGGGCTGAGCATCGAGAACTCCTATTGACTTCACTGCTGGAGTCTTGAAGACCCGTGGAACTTTGGAGAGTCAGGCCAGTTTTTTAGGGACTTTAATATGGACTTCAGAGCATAACTTTGGTCATCCATTTAAAAAAAAACCTCAGCATACAATTTTTGCATTCAACTCTAAAGTTGCTGAAAATAACTTGCTCAATTTATCACTTAATATCCCTGAACGATCTTGGTAAACAGAACCCCAAATATACATTTCCAGCTGAAATATCATATAGATGATTATTTAGGAAACCATTCTAACCTGAGCTATGCAAAATTAAACATTTTGTGAGAAAAGTATTAAACAACACTAGACAGTTGGAAATCTGCTGGCTGTCAAAATATGGAAACAGGCACGTCTTAAATTTAAGACATCATGATTATTTTATTCATTCAGTCACTTTTTTTCTGCTCATTTCTCCAGTTCAGTGCCACTTAACATATTCCATCAGAGTTAAGAAGACAAAAAAGGAAGAAAAGAGAAACAGAACAGGAGGTATGGAAAGCATTTTGTTTCATAAAAAAAAATAACCATCATGACAGTGTAGTTGTGGAAGTAGTTCAGATCTGTTAATGTTTGACATAAGTGTGAAATTTTAAGTAAGTAGACAGTTTCCAATGAAAAGTAATAGTATAATAAAGTGAAAGGAACCTAAAAATTAATAAACTCAGAGATTATTTTCATCATAAAGCTCTTTGGTATAAACCAGCTCCTAAAAAACTACTGTCCCTGGTAGCAGTTCCATTGAAGCCCATTATATACATTCCCTTTACAGGATTCCCTTCATTATTATATGAAAACTTTGTCTCTCAGGGACAACTTTACGCAGAGGATGCTTTACTTTGCGTAGGAGCGTCACAATGCACAGTACAATGCACAGGAAATGCACGGTACTGTTTCAAATAGAATATATTTCCCTTTAGCCTCCATATAGCTTATTAAATATGATAATACTCCTGGTATATACAGTCCAAACTACCACTGATGTTACGCACCTGCTTTGTTGTATTTTACATAGTCCTAATTTCAAAGGATCAATTGCATACTTATTGATATGCTCTTTCACAATTTTGGGTCAAACTAAGTAATCCTGAAATCTGATCAGGAAAGTTTTCTTTCATTACATACCTCATTGTGATTCTTGTTCAACCATTCCTTAATAGTGGTAAGGGCAATAACAGCAGCAGGCTCATTTGGAAAACCTGAACAAAGAGTGGAAATAAAAAGAAGAAAGAGGTAAGTTGTGTGTGTATAAAAACATACGAAAAATATAAAAGATCTGATAATGTCAGGTGCGACAATGACTTTTATCAGCAGGAGCTGGGGATTATAGTTGGTAAAAGTTTTCCAAATTTAAATTTTTCGATAAAGTTCTTTATCAACATTTTGAGTTTAAAGAAGGATGATTTGCAGTTTTTTAATGAAAATACCATCCCTTTTTTATTCCAGGCATATACATAGTCAATTTTTTTTGGAATTTTGAAGTGTTAAATTAAAAAAAAAACATGGCAAGTTTTTTTACCCATATTTTGATCAACTCTATGTGGCAAAACTCTGTTATTCAAGAGTGGTAGAGTACAGGTCATACCACAGAACTGGAAATAAAACCTTTATATCACACAAACATGTATTATGTTTATGCTTCATAACATATAGAAAAACTATTTTAGAAATATCTTAAGAGTTTTCAAAAATCTACTTTTTTAAAAATCTAGTTGCCTGTAAAACCATGAGTCCAACTCTGAGAGCCTCATAAGGAGGAAAACAAATGAAATTGTGGGTTGAATGTGACTGAGATGTCAGAAGTGCTAGACAGAAACACCTTTATCACAGTTTGGTATACATCAGTGTACATGTATAGTATTTTACACTTTATTCACACACCCCATAGGTGGAACCAGTTCCCCACTTCCTGAAAGTGAAAAAAGAAAACCCTCGATGGCCTTGATTGTCCATTGCCTTGCAGCTTAATGGGCCTAATTCTCATCGGTACTAAGGGTACATTTAGACTCACGTTAGGATCTCATTAAATTGCCAGAGCAGTGACCATGACATTTAAGGAAACTCACCCCTTTGGAATTATTTTAGTTTCTGTGCCTTAATGTTAGCCAAACAGGAAAAATTATTTACATGCTTCAAATCAAGTGTCCATTCACTTTGAGTCGTGTCTCCATAACATCATTTCCCCAAAAGAAGGATTTTACTCTCATCAAGTGCACAGTTTTGAACTGACAAATCACACGTCTACTGTCTATTAGTTTAATAGGTTAAAACACAAACAGACATTAATAGCACTTGATTAATATTAACATTCAATATATGCAAACATTGTATGTTTCCTATTAAAGCATAAGCCTTTCCTTTTAGGGCCCAAAACCAGAGAGGTGCCAAAGACCTTCTACCCTTATTGAAATCAATGGGAGTCGATCAATGGGGTCCTCTGCAATTTGCTGGTATGATCCCCTAGGGTTGCATGTCCTTGAAACATTTAACAAGGACGTTATTAAATTTACTTGGGCCTCCCTCAGTGCAGTCGGCTGGACTTGACTTCTCGAGGTCCCTTTGAGCCCTACATTTCTATGAGTCTATGACTCTAAGTTATCAATACAATTTCCTCATACCACAAACCAATGATCAGTTCTATTTTCAATTAACAGAACTCAAAGCAGGCTCTTCTTAACAGTATCAGAGGGTCAAATTCTACTCTCTTTGAACACTGGTAACATTGACGTCAAACAAATGTGTGCAAATGCACCCCAGGGAAGAATCCGACTCTTTGTATGAATTTCATTTCAGTTGGGTAACAGACATCTATTACATGCAAATTAATAAAACCCTTCCTAACAAACCAGGCTAGCATTTCCCTGCCTTGTATTTGACATGTCTGCTTGGGCACACAATGGTTGGGTAGTAATGCCAAGCATATTTCAGACATGTAAATTTTACCATTGCTTATACATGGAATATTTATTTACAGAACAAGTTTCCTTCTAGCAAGATTTACCTTTAAGACTTGATTTTCCTCCCCACTGCAGGGTTCTTGCCCAAAGCTGCGATAAAATATTCTCAATTTTATGGAATTATAAATCTCTGAGTAAATTGTACATTATTTAGAAAAATGCAGAAAAATGCTTCCATACTAACTAATCTTAAATAGAAGTTGATCTACAAAATTGGTGCTCAGTTACCACTACTAAATAGCCAGGATGTGAAAGAAACAGCTTGGGGAACAAAATAAAAACCCTAACCTCTATTCATGATTTCAAGAACTATCTTAAAATCTATAGGAGACTTTTAGGACCACTGTTACCAAAAAAATAAAATAAACCTAATTATTTTACACATTTTTTCCTGGCGATATTACTGAAAAAGATAATCACGTTGGCTTTAGGCATAACTGATGAACAACGAGAGAAGGATGGAATTTCACTTGATATTTTGTACTCTCTCAGCACAAAAGGCCCTACATGTGCTTGAATTCAGTGAACATGAAAACATTTTGCTTTATAGACTTAGGTGAAGGGAGATGAAATGCAATGTGATCTTTTAAAACATGCTTTTGTTTTGTTTTTATCTTAAATCTGCATTTCTCAGCCACAACAGTCCTTGTCTGCTCACTCCCACCCTCCCTCCCACAGACATACCGTTTCCTTTCTGCAAAAAAGCAATCTCAGTGAGCACGTGGGAATCAAATTACTTGAAAGAAATGAGTTTGAGGAGCGTCATGGTTAACCAATTGCTGGAGCAGCAGCTTAAACAATTCTGACTAACAGCTCAATTTCACAAAAGATAAAACAGATAAAGTAATAAGATCGACATTGGCCCATATTACTGCGGTGAGTGTTCCTCCAGAATACTGAAAAGGACAAAGGCACAAAAAGCCAAGGGAGCATTAGCCATAAGGTACAAGCAAACTCCGTATCCACACAGCACATTATTTGAATTATTTGGGGGAGGGGTAGTATTTCTCTTGTGAAGTTTAAATTTAATTTACAAGAAAAAAAGTTTATTTCCACACACAGCCGCTAATATGGAACTGTTTTCCCCAGATTCTCCAGTGGCTAAAATGGCGGCATCTTGGAAATAATACTGTGCAGCAATGTAAAAACATTGAGAGCCATCTTAGGTGAAATGGAAATTTTGATCCGACCTTCACCATTCTGCTGGGACTGCGAATTACCACTCACATTCTGTTAGCAGTAGCCATTTTAAAATCTTTTCCTTTCCATATAGCAATATTCCTATCACAGTTGGCAGGGGCTTACGTTGCACCCACTAGGTTAAAAGTGCTGGCACGCTGTATAAATACGCTGATGAATTTCTGCTGACTCACTGAGATAGGTGTGGCTCATTAATCCTACATTGGATTTAAGATGGTAGAAGGAACTAGGGTCTGAGACAGAAAAAACTCTAGGCTAGGCTGAGCTTTGTTCTCCTGTTGTTATTTCACACTGCTTATAAAAGAATTCCAGAAAGTGGGGTGAGCGTGGGCACTCACCCTGTGCATTTGTTTTGTGCCAGACCGGGAAAGGACTTCAGCCATAACTATGCCATGGATGCTACAGTGACATAGCTCCTGTGGTGCGGATGCTGACTACAGCGAGAGAAGGGGGTTTTCCATCACTGTAGGAACTCCACCTCCGCAAGTGATGGCAGCCAGTTTTGATGGAAGCATTCTTCTATCAACCCACTTGCATCTACACTGGGGATTAGATTATGTCCACGTAGCAGCACTCAGGGGTGTGGAGCTGTAGCTATGTCAAACTTTTAAATGTAGAGCAGGCCTAAGCCTATTCACACTTCCCTGTAAGTTTCTTCTTCTATTATCCCAGAATATTAACATTAATAAAAGACTCAGAAGCTGCTATACATACTTGCTCAGTCTTCACAGCCACTGGTTTCTTTTCATACTATTTGAGACTGGCTAGCTGTCTGTCTTTAGCGAATATTGGTATATACGCTGATATGTTCATTCTCTTGATTTCCAAAAGTGTGTTATCAAAAAAGGTGCATGTCATAAAAATACACTTTCAATTGCTAATTTAAATAAGAAGAGAATCAAAAGGATCTTTCATCGGTTTTGCCCTTACAGGCTCCCTACTTTTAAAAAAAAACCAGTTATGACTAGGGCTGGGTGGAAAAGAAGAATTCAGCTGTGTAAAAAAAATTTGAGGTTCCACCATTTGTTTTCATTCCTATGTGGAACAAAAATGAGACTTTTCAATAATTTTCATTAAAAAGGAGGAGGAGGAGAAAACCCACAGCCACAGGCGTAGTTTGCAAGCCTTGGGTAGGTGTGTCCCCTCCCCCACGCACAGCCCTGTTGGCCTGACTGGAGCTGTCTCCCCAAATATAGAGGTCAAACTACTCCGATGTCACAGCAGACTACACCCATAGATCAGTAGATTGGCCTGGGATGTGGGGGACCCAGCTTCAAGGATCTTCCCTGCCTTTCCCTTGGGAACAGGGACCTGAACCTAGGTCTTCCAACAGCCCAGATGGGCTATTGGCTTTTCTGGGCACTCGTTCTCAATTCCATCCTGCATCTGAGAAGCCTTCCCAACTGAAGTTTCATTGAAATTAAAACATTTCAGTGAAAAGTTTCAGTTTTGATAAATCGTCTTCTTCGAATGGAAAAAAGTGTTATCAAAAAATTCCCAACCAGCTCTCCTTATGAATGAACTACATCCTTTATACATCTTTGCATATATCTATTACCCTTGGTGACAGCCTGTGAAAGCTTCAAAGATCTTCAAACATACATGCTCTGGTATCTGTTTCAGGACATTTTATCTTCTTTCTTTCTGGGAATTACAACAGTGACCAGCTAAATGGTTTCTGAAACAAATTCTGTGCTATGCAAGCTGTTCCAACTACCATTGTCCTAATTCTCCTGAGGAGAGATGATAAAAGAATTACTCTGAATCATTTGAAAGAGATTATATAAAAGAGAAGCAGATCTTTTTAGGGAAGGAGGATGTTGAGTAGTGGTGAGGTGAAAGGGATGGTCGTTGAGGATATATGTTGGGGTCTCCACTCTATCTTCTGTTATTTCCTGGAAAATGATTAGCATGATTTACTCTGAGGACAAAGAGAGAGCACAAAACTCCCCTCCTTCATTAATTTATGGAGAACCTGATGAAATTCCCTGTGGTCAGACACTCTGGGGTAAATATTCAGCTTCTTGTGCTGTGGGAATTTA